ACACTTTCGCTCATCGCGAGCTGGGCCTGGCCGAAAACCGTCCGTCGGTCCCGCGGGCGCGCGCGGACGAGCGCCAGCTAGGGGGCACTGGCGGGGCAAAAGCGCACACGCACACACACACACACCCACGGCCACACGCACACCGACAGCCACACCAACACACACACACACACACACACACACGCGCAACACACAACACACACACACACCCACACACCCACCCACCCACACCCACCCACCCACTCACGCACAAACGCACACATACACACACTAAGACACACACACACACACACACGCACACACACACACGTACAACAACACACACACACTGACACACACACACACTGACACACACACACACACACACACTCGAACACGCTGACACACACACACACACAAACAACACACACCAAAACACGAACACACAGCACACAACAGACAACACACACACACACCCACCCACACGCACACACACACACTCATACAAACACGCACACACACACACGAAGACACACACAGACAAAGACTCAGACTGATACACACACACACACACTAATACACACACGCGTACGAAAACACACACACACTGACACAAACACACACGCACACACGCACACGTACAGAAACACTCACACACAGACGCTGACACACACACAGACACACACGTACAAAAACACACACACACTGACACACACACACACACACGCACGAACACACACACACACGTACAAACACGCACACACACAATGACACACACACACGTACAAAAACACACACGTACGCTGACACACACACACACTGACACACGCACACTCACACACACACTAAGACTAACACACACACACTAATACACACAACGCACACATCACACACAACCCACAACCCACAACACACAACACCCACCCACCTACCCACCCACACACCCGCACGCACATACACACACTCACACACAACACACACACTAAGACACACACACACACACACGTATAAACATACACACACACACACTCCGACACAAGCAATCACTAACACACACACACACACGTAGAACACCAGACACAGACACTGACACACACACGCACACACGCATTAATGCAAACACACGTACAAAAACACACATACAGACACAAGCACACACACTGACAACCACACACAATATAACACACAAGCACACCGAAACACACTGAAACACACAGACACACACGTATACCAACACACGCACACACTGACACACACACACACACGCACTAACACACACACACACGTACACAAACACACACACACACACTCACACACACACACACGTACAACGACACCACACGCACACACACGCCGCCACACGCACACACGCGCACGCGCTAACACACACAGCCACACGTACAAACACACACACACACTCACACTGGCACACACACACACACGTACAAAAAACACTCACACACTGACACACGCACACACTGACACACACAGACTAACACGCACACAAGCATTAACACACACACACTAACACACACCACACAAGGCACACCCACCACACAGCACACTAATACACACACTGACGCACACACACACACACACGCACCTACCCACACGCACACACGCACTGACACACACACACACGTACAACACACACACTGACACACACACACACACCCACACGCACAAACACACACACACACTGACACACACACACACACTCCACCCACCCACACATACACGCACACGTACAACCACACACACACACACGTTGACACACACACGCACACACATGCACGTGCAACCATACACACGCATACTGACACACATAGCACACTGACACACACACGCACACTGGCGCACACACACACACACACACGCACCAGCACACACACACACACACGCGCGCACAAAAGCACACACGCACACTGGCACGGACAAATACACACACGTACAAACACACACACACACACTGACACACACACACACACACGCACACTGCCACACGAACACGCTGACACACACACACACACACACGCGCACTAACACACACACACACACACGCTCATACCAACCACACCCACATTGACGCGCACACACTCATGTACACAAACACCCACGTCCAAGCACACACCCACACACTGAACACACACACACACATTCACACACTGCCACAGCCACACTAACATACACGCACACATGCACTAACACCCACTAGCACACAACACACACACACCACAACACAAACACACACACACTGGCACCCACACACAAGCACACGTACAAAACCACAGCCACACACTGACTCACATACACGCACACTGGCACACGCATACCCTAACATACACATACCCTAACATACACACGCACACGCACTAACACACTACCGTATTAACACACAACACACTGACACACACACACACACACACACACGCTGACACACACGCACACACTCACTAACACACACACACACACACGCTCACACACACACGTACAACCACACGAGCTGACACACACACACACACTGACACGCACACAGACACGACCACACACACACACTCACACACATACACACACGTGTTACCACACTAGACTGACACACACCACACAACGCAACCACCACACATCGCACTAACACACACACTGACACACACACACACACACGCACTGACACACACACACACACACGTGCAAACACATACACACCCACTCACACACACACACACACACACACGCATACACACCCACTCACACACTCGCACACACGCACACACACACACGAACACAGACACACACACACACGCACTAATACACACAAGCACACACAAACGCACATACAACACAACACACACACACTGACACACTACACACACGTACACACACGCACACTAACACACACACACACTAACGCACACACACACTCACATACATGCTCACACCTACAACAACACACACACACTGACACTGACACTGACACACACACACTAAGACAGACACGCACTGACACACACACACACACACGCGCACACCACACAGCCACAAACCACGCATCATACTAACGCACACACTGACACACTCGGACACTAACACACACACACACACGCACTTACAACAACACACACGTACAGCACACACACACACACGCACTGACACACATAATACATATACACACACGCGCTGACACACACACACACACGCACACCCACGCTAACACATAACCTCACTAACACACTCGACCATACACTAGCACACACCACACACAACACACAACGCATTAACATGTACTGAACCACAAACACCAACACACACAAACGCGTACACAAAACACACACACACTGACACACCCACACACTGACACGCACACACACACACACACACGCACATACTAACACACACACACGCGCACGCACGAACACACACTAACACACAACGCACAACACATACAAACACACACACACACTGACACACTGACACACACGCAAACGCACACACACACACACGCACTAACGCACACACACGTACACAAACACACACACACACACACTGACACGCACACACACACACTGACACCCACACACGCACACTAACACGCACACGCACGCACTAACACACACCACACACCACACACCACACACAACACACACAAGTACAACAACACACACAATGACACGCACACAAACACACACGCACTAACACACGCACTGACATAGATACACACTAACACACACACACACACACGCACTAACACACACTAACACGCAACACACACACACACGCTAACACACACACACTGACACACACACACACACGCTAACACACACACGCACACTAGTACACACACTCACACACACACACGTACAAACACACACACACACGAACTGGCACACACACACACACACTAACACACACACACACGCACACTAACATAGGCCGCGGGAGGCCTCTGGGGCGGCGCGGGCGCGGTGCCAGACCTGGACAAGCGCGTTCCACTACTCGCAAAGTACCCGCTCGCAAATGGCCTCGATCCACCGCGGGGGTTTTACGATCCATTATTTCGAGGTGATCATTTTTTTTCAAACGTTTGTAGGTCGGCTCTTTGCGAATAACGGAACGCGCTGGGTGGAGACCACCCAGAGCGCGGCGATTCCAGATCATCCACGTCACGCGGCAAGGATCCAATCATGAATCAGGCCGGGGGATTGTTGTGCCCAGACTCTGAGACAAGCCAAGTGTGCTATCATGCTGTGTTGCATTTTGCGCAATCGTTTGGCACGTTGGGCAGGGCTCAGCATACACATTGCAGACATCATGCCAAATTTTGAGCTGGAGGGACACGCGCAGGGCCTGTGCCACGCTGTCGCCTCAACGCGTAGGAACCTCTACACTCGCAGAACATCGACTGGGAAAATCGAAGAACATTACCTGCTTAATGCGAGCATCTACTCGGGCTGACGCTCCTCTCCATTCAGCCTTTCACCCAAGCCTTCGTGACGATCCCGCACGCCGTGCCAATAGCAACCCAGACGACAAAACCAATCACCCACTTGTTAGAGCCCCTCCCAAAACCTTTCTGATCCTTCAGTGGTTGTTTGGACAATAAACACTCCTTGATGACTTGATACCTGCGGAAGCCCAATATTGCCGAAATGAGCATCACCATGACACACGCCCAGGTAGTTGACACAACCGAGAAATGTCCCAGCGGATCCATGGCTGTCACCGCCAGAAATGCAAAAACGGTCCGGACAGCAGCGAGGCACGTGCGCGTCCAAGCTAACAGCGTACGTTCATTCGCCAGGTCTGCGGACAAGCGGGCAAAACGATCCACAGAATCCGCCATGGCTTCGGTCGCGTGCTCCATTTTCTCAGCGGCCTCCTCTATGTGCTCGGCAGCTTCCGCAACGTCCTCGATGGCGTCTTCAATGTCGTCCTCTCTGAGCCCCTCGAGATCTTCTGGCGACACGGCATGACTGACGCGGCGCATCGAGTATCGCCTGCCACGGTACTTTGCATGCACCGTCTGCTCAGAAGCCTCCTCGGAGATCTTGCTTCCGCGGTGCGCAAGGGGAAGAAGCGGAGGATCCAGCGTTGGCATCGACTGAGATCCGCCTGCCGCTGCTCGCCATGGGCGACACTGCGCGCGAGACGTCTGGCAGCTCCCTTCTTCACGCCTCTTCGCCGGAGGACCCGCTCTCCCCCCCCCTTGTGGATCTTCGTTCTCCTTGCTCGCTCTGCCCGGGGGACATCGGTGGTGCGACCCCGAGAACGCAGGAGTCGGCGGCATGCTGTGCACATCCGCTCTCTGTCTCTGTCTCCAGCATGGTCTGTCTATGTGTCTGTCTGCCTGCCTCTCTCTCTCTCTCTCTCTCTCTTTTTTTTGGTCTCTCTCTCTCTCTCTCTCTCTCTATATATATATCCCTATCTGCGTGTCTCTCTATATCTCTGAGCATATATATATGTGTATTTTTTATGTGTGTATATGACATGCGCAAGCCAGGCTGTACTCAATATTATACGGTGATGGTAGTAGCAACACCTGTGTCGTTACCAGAGCAACAAGTACCTTGCACCTTCCTCTTCGCTCGTCTCCATCCCTGGAACATCGGTGTCGTCGCTCGCATGTCGCTTTCCGATTGTCCAACTGCCCGAGCTCGGCAACATCAGGCCGTGTTGTTGTTGTTTTAAGGCTCTTGAATGATATAGCATCCACCTCAGATGCGGTGCTTTTCCTCTGATAGAATTTGATATATGGTCCCGGCAAGAATGGCTTCCAGAGCGACCCCTGGACGCATGGCGAACAAACCTCTGGCGTGTTGTCTTTCGAATCGCCAGGGGTCTTGACAAAATGCATGCCCCGAATCGTATGTATGTATGTATGTATGTATGTATGTATGTATGTATGTATGTATGTATGTATGTGTATATATATATATATGATCTGTTTGTTTTTTTCAGCCTTGCGAGGCCCTCGCTGGACCCTGGGACCGTCAGGCAACGACTCAGGATGAGAAGCCGATCCAGGGGAACGGGTCGAGACCTCTGGGGGACCACGTCATGAACAAATCATGGCGTCGGGGGTCTGGGGAAGCCCCCTGACGCCTTTTTTGAGATGCCCCTGGGGCCCAGGCGCGGCCCTTGGACGCCAACATCTTCGAGCAAACGCGTGTCGCGATTTCTCCAAGAAGTCGCTGGAGATCTGGACCTTCCCCCCTCCCAAATGGCCTCCCCCCTTGCCCCTCCCCCCCCTCTCCCAAATCGCGCTCCCAAATCGCCTCCCCCCCCCCCCAATCTCCCCCTGGACCTCACCTCGCCCTGCGTCTTTCCTTGACGGCCCCGCGGTTCAGGCACGATCGCTGGCTGCCCAGAAAGGGCGACACACCTCCGCCTCGAGGTTTCCAAGACGCCAGAGACCTCCAGGCAAAGTGCCACGGGTGGGTGAAGGGGGGCCACCCCCTCGAGGAGGAGAGCCCCTCAAGAGAGCCCCTCAAGACATCGAGAACATATTGATTTCGCGCCAAAAAACTTCTTGACCCCAGATCCTCGATTCTTGGGGGGACCTCGCGACTCCGCTTGGCATTCCCTGAGATCCGACATTGCGAAAAAATGCAAAATTGTGAACAATCACGCCCGGAGCCCTAGACCCAATCCTTCTGCGTCAGTTTTCGAGCCGGATCGATCTGTGAGGGTCCTGGGGCCCGAAACGGGGCGACAACGCCCGTGGTGAAAACAATGCAGCGCCAGGACCCCAGGGTTAGCCTGAGGTCTGGGAACGGCGCCCCCCCCCCCCCTTGGATCGATCATCCATGTTGCGTTTTTTCAATACGGGTCCCCTGGAAGCCCCGACGTTCTTTCCATGGAACGCAGTCCCGTCATGTGTTATCACTCCTCAACCAGCACAGCGAAAGGATTCGCACTGCCGTTGCAAAGTGCCCCTGCAAACGACAGCGCTCAGCAAGCCGTGTGCCCGCGGTTTCCCTCTAAGCGCGCCGTCCCCGGAAGTCCCGACCGTTCCCTTGGGGCCAGCTTCTCACCCCGAGTCGTTCTCTGACGACCCCAGGGCTCAGTAAGGGGCCCCCAGAGGCCGAGGGCATTCACAGAGACCATCTGTCGCATCGTCTTCGCGACGCTGGAGGCCTGAGCCCTCCCCAGACGCCTTCGCGTCGGGAAAAACAAATGCAAGAAATTTCAAAAACAAATGTCGGACCCCGCTTCCGTCAAAAAACAACTCGGGATGAAAAGCGGGTCCCTAGGAAGGGGTCCAGACGCCTCTGGGTCCACACCATGAAGAAAACACGCTCCTTGCCAAATGGACCCCCCCTGGACCTCTCCTGTGAGACTGGTGTGGGAGTTCCCTGGGCTCCTCCTGAGACCCCCCCGAAAAACTCCAGAAACAATAACATGTTTTTTTAATTCGGAGGGTTTCCCCCCCCCCAGATCTCAGGGAGGGGCGGGAGGGTGGATTTTGAAGGGTTTCCTGGGGGCTACACCTAAAACAATACTAGTTCTGATTCCCCCAAAGAAAATGCCCACCCACCCCCAAACAATTCCAGAAAAACAGCCGACCCCCCACCACTCGTTTTTTTTTTCGCGGGATTCCCGGGAGCGACCAGGCAAAACCTTGCAAATCGCAATTCGGGATAACCCCGCCGGAACCTCCGATTGCTTTCTCTGTTAATATTAGTTTGTTTATGTTTTTTCGCGTGCGGGTTTTTGGAAGGTTTGAATTTTTTCCCCTGCCCCCCCCCCCCCCCGAAACAAAAATCCCAACTCTGGGTTTCTTCGGGGGGGTCCAGGCCCCCACAATTGACAACACAACTATTTCTGCCCCCCCCCGAGAAAAAAAAAGAAACGAAAACCCAACTCGGGTTTTGGTTCGTTTTTTTTTGGGGGGGATTCTCAGGCCACCCTAAGCTCGAAGCCCTGGGCCCCATATGTGGAAACAGAGCTATTTCCGAATTCCCCCCCCAAACCCACAGAAAAACCTTCGAAACAAACACTCCGATTCAAGGGTGTTTCGGTTTGTTGTTGGGGGTTCTCCGGCCATCCCAAGCTCCAGGGGAGCAGCCCTAGAAACAAACATGGTTTTTTCTATGGTTTTTCGGCGGGCTCGCAGGCCCCTCGATTCAAAACAATATTACTTCTGAGAGCCCCTATCAAACAACAAAAAGCATTCTAGTTTTTTTCAATGTTTTTTTTCTCGGCGGTTCTCCGGCAACCCCAGGCTCCAGGGGGGAAACCCGTGACCCCCCCCAACTCGAGAATTTTTCTAAATTCTTTCGGGGGGTCCGGTGCCCCAAAATTGAAATCAAGAGGATTTATGACCCCCCCGAAACACCACCCGAACAACCTAAAGACCAACTCGCAACTCGAAAATTGTTTTCGATATTTCCTCGGGGGCTTTCCGGCCACCCCAAGCTCCAAGGGGGGAAAACTTTAGAACACCCTCCCAACTCGTTTTTTTTAATAAGTTTTTCGGGAGGGGGCAGGGCCCCACACTGAAAACTAATACTCTTTCTGAGAACCACCCCGAGACCTTTGAAAATAAACAAAAAACTCAACTCGGTTTTCAAACGGGTTGTTCGGGGAGTCTCGGGCCACCCCAGGTTCCAACGGACAACTTTCCCAAGGACATCAATCGGGTTTTTGTCGAAGGTTTTTCGGCGGGCGGCGGGCGGGCGGATCGGGATTTTCAATGAACCCGTTCTCTCTTGTAGCGGGATGCTGTTGAATACTGGGTGTTGTGTTGGAGATGGAGGCTGTTGAGTAGTGGGTTTTGTGTTGGAGACGAACGCTCTTGACTACTGGTAGTTGTGTCGAACGCGGATTCACGGCGAACGGGCAGCGTGGGGCGGGCGGCGGGCGGGCGGCGGGCGGGCGGGCAGCGGGCAGCGGGCGCGGATCGGGATGTTAATGAAACTGTTAATGAAACTTCTCTCTGGCAGCGGAATGTTGTATGGTGAATGTTGTGTTGGAGACGCATGCTGTTGAGTAGCGTTTTTTTGTGTTGGAGACGGACGCTCTTGAATACTGGGTATTGTGTTGAACGCGGAAGCACGGCAAACGGGCGGCGTGGGGCGGGCGACGGGCGGGCGGCGGGCGGGCGGGCGGCGGACGGCGGGCGGGCGGATCGGGATTTCAATGAACTCCTAAGGATTCTCTCTTGTAGCGGGATGCTGTTGAATACTGGGTGTTGTGTTGGAGATGGAGGCTGTTGAGTAGTGGGTTTTGTGTTGGAGACGAACGCTCTTGACTACTGGTAGTTGTGTCGAACGCGGATTCACGGCGAACGGGCAGCGTGGGGCGGGCGGCGGGCGGGCGGCGGGCGGGCGGGCGGCGGACGGCGGGCGGGCGGATCGGGATTTCAATTAACTCTTAAGGATTCTCTCTTGTAGCGGGATGCTGTTGAATACTGGGTGTTGTGTTGGAGACGGAGGCTGTTGAGTAGTGGGTTTTGTGTTGGAGACGAACGCTCTTGACTACTGGTAGTTTTGTCGAACGCGGAGGCACGGCGGGCGGGTGGCGGGAGGCGGGCGGCGGGCGGGCGGGCGGATCGGGATGTTAATACAACTTCTAAGAATTCTTTCTTGCAGCGGATGCTGTTGGACACTTGGTGTTGTGTTGGAGACGGAGGCTGTTGAACACTGGGTATTTTGCTGGGGACGGACGCTGTTGACTACTGGGTGTCCAATGTCCGTGTTCAACCAAACACCCAAAACTCGATAACATCCGTCTCCAACACAGCACCCGGTACTCAATAACCTCCGTCTCCAACACAACACACAATATTAAACAACATCCTGCTGCAAGAGAGAGCCCTGAAGAAATCTATCAAAATCCCGGTTCGCCCGCCCACACGCCCGCCCGCCGCCTGGAACTCCCGGCCGCAGCGGGATGATCCGGTCATGTTTTTTTCGTCTGGAGCCCTGGAATTTCCCGAAACACCGCCGGACAACAAACAAAAACGAGCTGGAGGGTTTTTCGGGGGTTTCCCTTCTTGGAGCCTGGGCTGGCTAGAGAACGCCCGAACAAAAACCCAAGTTAGGTTTTTTTGTCGTAAAAGGTTTTGGGGTTGCTTTCAACCATAATCTTGTTTTACATTGTGGCGCCCG